CATATCATTTACAATATGGCCAATGTTTCTCGCCCAACGAGGCATCAGCAAGCGTTTGCAAGGCTTCATACTCTCCTGTTCCTTTGGCACTCTTCAGGACGTAGTGCCCAGAACTCTGAGGCACCAAAAGCCACAAATTGGGAAGGTAAACCCTTAAACCCTACACCCTAACTCTAGGGGTGCTGATATCTTCGGTATTCCGGCCGGTTGGGGTCCTTGTAGGGATTATAGTATACTGTCAGTGACCCTAGTTTTGGAAGCCACCATATACATACATATATATATATATACATATGTATGTTTGTATGTATGTATGATAGGGGTTTAGGGCCGGGTTCAGAGTTAGGGTTTAGGGTTTAGGGTGTGTATATATACATAGGTATAAATACATGTCCCAATCTCTTGAAAAAGCAGAGGCTGATAGGTGCGCTAGATGGCTGAGGGATGCTTTTCCTTCTGTTCCGGAGCAAATGAGCTATTCTCTAAACTCCTTAAAGGGGGGTATATAGGGGATTATATAGGGGGCTATTATAAGGATTATTAAGGGGGATACTAGGAGTTTAGACTATAGCTCAAATCAGGCGGGTTCATGGATGTGTTGTTTAGTGTTCTTATTGTCACTTTCGTGCAGTTTCGAGGTCACCGAGTTGTTCGCAACCCGCAAACTCAAATACTAATGTATCGTGATCTTATACCTGGTAGAGGAATCATCCATGACAACTCGCTCATAGGAGATGTAGGTATTGGTCCATTGGTCCACCTCCTTAATCCGCTCTAATTTCACATTCCACATGATCCCACATGTGTCCCACGTGGCTTAGGGTTGAGGGTTTAGGATTCATGAGGGTACCCATTTCACGAGGGTGCCACGCCCGACTCACTACACCCCAAACGGCTCTAAACCCGTCGTTTGTCCAATAACCCAGTCAAAGGGATCGGAGAATACCCCTTTTTGCCCTAAGCCCAAAATTACTGAACCCTAAAGACTAAACTTTGATTTGTTTCCGATTCCCTGACCAGAGGTCTGCCCCTGGGTTGCACGCTTCCTCCGCAGCCGCTACAGCGACTGAGCAGCAATTTGGGAATGCCGGATTTATCCTATACATACTGGGTTGCTGTTAGGGAACTTAGGGTACTGGAATCTATTCACTATTATCGACCCATATTGTGGTAATTTGATGTAAGTTCCTTAACAGAAACCCAGCATACTGGAGAGGTGGGGGTGTGAATGTAGGCATTAGTAACGGTTAAGGTTTAGGGTTTAAAGTCTTCCTGGCATCCGCCTCAGCTCCAGGTGTAAAAGGGGTCATCGGAATCCTTCCCCCACTCGCTCTTTTGCACCAGCACTACGAGTTTCCCAAACTGTTCCACGTACATGACTGAGGGAGTACCACCTAAATCCAAAAATCCTAAACCCAAATCCCTCAACAGCCCCTTGACATCTCTAGCTGCTCTAAGGGCCTCTTTTTTGATCATCTGGACATTTCCCTGGGATCCAAGCATATATACAATACGTACATTGGGCCCCAAACTTTGAAGACATTAATGCCTTTGACCCAACATTGCGAGACCCTCATGTAATTGCCATTGTCGCTTGTAGTGGCTGTTAGCACGTAGAGGGATCGCTTGTCCTAAGCACATGCCACGCCAAAGTAAAGACTGAACTTACGCCCTAAACGCTAAAACAATCGAATGCTCAAGCCTGAAGCCCAAACCCTACGCCGCCAAACCCTCAACCCAAACCACAAACCCAAAGTGTTTCTTTACCAGGTTGCTGCTCAGGAATGTAAATTCAGTTGCTATAACTAGGAAAGCCTATTATTTACTGTATACCCATATTTATGGTAACTTAAGATAAGTTCCTTAGCAGCAGCTCAGTTCAGGTGAATTGAAGGTCGCGGCTCGCGAACTGCGTGGAGCACCGGAGTGGACGAGGCTAGACTTGTTGTTCCCTCATGGGGCTGGGGGTTTAGGGTCTAGGATTTAGGGTTCAGGGTTTAGGGTCTCACTAAAGGATGTATAGGGATATAGCGCAGTAGTTTCCATGAAAAGGGGCTCCCCCTTAAAGACCCCCCCAAAAATATGATAAGCTGATACGTAATCCTTGTTATGGGGACCCCCAACAATGGACCTCTAATTTTGGGAAACCCCCATATGTATTCTGTTGTGATGTGTAGGGCTTAGGGCTTAAGGTTGTAAGCTTCTAGGTGCCCCTGTAGTACCTTTTTCCCCTTTTTTCTTTTAAGGTCTCCTGTATAAAGCAGAACATTAGGAAAAGGCTACCCCTTATCATGAAGCGGTTACTGGGGAACCCTAACCCCCATACCCTAAACTCTAAACCCTATACCCTACACCCTACACCCTACAGCCCTTTACTCTTGTTACTAAAGGGTTACTGGGGGACCTAGGTCTTTGGTGTTGAAAACATCCGTTTAGAATGGTTTAGGAGTTTAGGGAGTTTAGGATTGAGGGGTTGAGGTTAGGGCTTGAGGGTTTAGGGCTAAGGGTTTGCAGGGTTAAGATTAAGCCTAAACCTCAAACTCTAAACCCGAATGTCTGCAAACGTGATAGTGCACTGCACAGCAAAATCCGCAATGGAAAGAGCGCTAAGTTGTGCACGGACAGCCTGCATACAAACACGGCTTGCCTCATGCGGGATTAATGTCGCAGCCGGGGATTGAGGGGACGCTTCCCCAGATGGAAACCGCCTGTCATCCTACCCGACTCATCCTCCCAGCCTTTTGGCAAAGGGGGGCTTCCCAAAGTTAGTGCTCAGACTTATCAGGGGGCTCAAAAGGTGGGATGAAGGTAGGTGGATCTAAGGATCCCTAGTGTTTCCATGTGTGTCTCTGCTGTGGATGTAATGAGATAGACATGTATATATATATATATAACCACTTTAAACTGGCCTTTGGTAAGCTGGGAGTGAAGGAATGCAACAGAATATGGGAATCATTATATAATTGGTTGTATAGGGACCACTACAAGGATCCATTCCTCCATTCCTAGCTAACCAAAGGCCAGTACAGCAACCCCTGAACCCTAAAATCCTAAAACGTAAACCCTAAATCCTAAACCTCTGTATAGATGTACAGATACACACACTTATAATATATACATATATATATGTATATATATAACCCCTTGAAAGAGGTTGAAGGTTCTACTGGAGAGAGGGGCTTCCAACAGGCCCAAAGCGACCTGCACCTGGAAAACTGCATCCCCAGAGCGCCTCTTTGAGCTTCTGGCCGGTATGGGGTTTGGGGTTCAGGGTTGAGTGTGTAGGATGTAGGTTTCGCGGTTTAGGGTTGAGGGCTTGGAGTTTAGGGCTTACAGCAGTTTAGGGGTAAGGGTTTAGGGTATGTAGGGTTGGGAGTTGAGGGTTTTAGGGCTTAAAGAAGTTGAGGGTCTAGGGTTTAAGATATAGACTTTGGAGTTTAGGGTCCTCCCTGCACCTTCAAAGTATGTAGAATATGAGCCTCTTTTGGTCTTCAACGGGTTTTGTACTTTTAGCCACTTTTGAGGTCCAGGTTCGGCTGGAGGGTGTGGAGGCCTGGTGTTTCGTGCTTGGGTTTAAGGGGTGAAGGCCTGTAGTGTGGCGTTTAGGGTTCAGGGCTGAGGGTCTGTGCTTGGGATTGCTTCTTATGTAATCCCTTGTAAGGACCCTGTATATCCTTGGGGTCCCAATTGTCTAGGGATGGGTGTTGCGCAGCAAAGGCTTCAGGGACTTTGCGCAAGGCAGGACTTGGGCAAAGACTCAGCATGTATGGTCCTAAACAGGGAGGTTTCCCAGATAGAGAGGACCAAGGGGAACACGGGCATTCCAAAGAAACATTACTCCACAAAACGTTACAACCCCCAGGGTTTAGGGTTTAGGGTTTAGCCAGAGCTCTACAAGACTCAACCCCAGGCCCTGCACATGAATTAGACGCTGGCTGCAGAGAAAATATACGACAAGCCAGCTAAGCCTGCAGTGTTCGTGGAGTTCGAACCCTACCTGAAGATTCATGGTACTTACTAGCTACTTGTAGCAGGGCTTATGCCCTTGTTTAAGCTCCTCCTAACTGGGGTTATGTAGGTTGCCCAAGCTATACGTGAGGTTAGAAACCCGGTGATAAGAACCTAGTAAATCCCATGAACCTAGAAGTAGACCGAGTGGAAGGCCACGGCCATTGAAAGCAAAGCCTGGATTCAGCAGCGGGATCAGAGCCTCTGAAGCAGACGACTCGCAGGTTTTTGAATCACGGGGTTCCTTTAAAGAGGTGGTCTGGAGACATGTAGGGAGTATGTAGTGGGGGATCATGCAGGGATCTGGACGGAACGGAAAGAAAACGTAAACTACCTTACTTGTTGAGATTTTTGTTTTAGTGTGTGTAACCGTTGTTCGTTGAGCTTGAAAGGAGTTTCTAGAGGTTTGAGGGTGACTGCAGCTCAGCATTTTCCAGTTTTACGTCTGGCGCTGCATAGAGTAGACCCCTGACTACTGAACCCCATCCCTTTTAGGGCCTCAAAAATAGGATTTCGATTTCCAACCCCGATTACGGGGAGGGGTTTGTTGATCAGGGGCTTACATGTGTGAGCCTGTGTTGGAAAAGACTAGGGGGTTCTTTTTGACTTAACAGCAGGATAAGGAACATGAGCACTAACAAAAAGTTGTAACATGTGGTTTAGGTTCTAAGGTTTAGGGTGGGTTACGTGGGCATTTCCACCAAGAATTGCCAACCACTTAGCTATCCCCAGCTCAGCTGAGTATACTCTTAACCTTAAGTCTGAACTCTATGTCCTGGACATTTCGTAATTTGCTGAACACCCTGAGCCCTACCTTAGAAACTCCAAGCCGTAAGTATACTTTACGTTCAGGGCCCGAAGTATGGGCTCAATTGCGCTTGTACTGATATGTAGTAGGTATATCAGGTCCCCAGGATTAAGGGCAGGTCCGTAAATCCTAAGCCCCAAACTCCCAAAAGAACCGGGGCCCATAGTTCCAACATTGTGTTAAGGCAGCGCAGCACTCTGGCACAATGGGTGGAATTTGAGAAGGCAAGGCCAGGTCAAGCTAAGTGACCAGTTCAGGGCTTAGGGCTTCGGCTGTTTAGGGTTTCAGGTTGTTTAGGGTTTAGGTTGTTTAGGCTAGCGCATGGATTACCGTTCCTCGTTTTGCCACATTTTACCCGTTCGTGTTCCAAGAGCATACGGTCAGCAGGGCATCCATGCCCAAACTATAATAACCTTCGTCATGCCCAAACCATGAGAATGTTCGTGTTCCAAGAGCATACGGTGACCAGAGCATCCATGCCCAAACCATAACAACGTTCGCGTTCCAGGAGCAAACAGTGACCAGAGCACCCATGCCCAAACCAAAACAACGTTCGTGTTTCAAGAGCATGCGGTGACCAGAGCACCCATGCCNNTGCCCAAACCATGAGAATGTTTGTGTTCCAAGAGCATACAGTGACCAGAGCATCCATGCCCAAACCAGAATAATGTTCGTGTTCCAAGAGCATGCGGTGACCAGTGCATCCACGCCAAAACCATAATATCGTTTGTTTTCCAAGAGAGTGCAAGGTTCGTTCCTCTTGGTCCAAGGATCGTTCCCATTAGCCCAAGCTACGCCCCATCAGTCCAAGCTGGTGAGGAGTTCTGATGTACTTAGTGTTATCATTGCGCCTTAAGAACCTCAGCAAGTGAGAAGTTGAGCTATGTCCTCCAGTGCCAAAATTGCATAACATTTGGGGCACGCCGAAAGCGAACATTTTCTACCCTGGAACAGCCTGAAATACTTTAGACTATAGGGGATTCTGTGCCTGCTGGACCTTTTGTAGACCAATTATCTTTGCATCCAAAATAGCGCGTAAACCCCACGGTTACCAACATTCCTAAAAAACGCAGCACGGTTTTTGGCCCCTCGAAGTCCCTGAAACTTGCACGAAACTGTGGCGAGAGCAGCATTCTCGCACCAAACACTGGACAGAAAACCATGCGGCGGGTTGTTTAGGATGTCGGATTTAGGGTTCAAGATTTGATTTTTGGGCTTCAGGTTATTTAGGATTTAAGGTTTAGGGTTTGAGGTTGTTTGGGTGTAGGGCTGACAAGTTGGAGGCACTACGAAGTTTAGGGTTTAGGCACCTTCGAGAAGTTGGCTAAATATTGCGGAGTTACTCAAAGTGGTAGTTTCCTGCACTTCTCCCTGCACCTTAAACCACATACTTTTAGAGTGAGGCAGCTCTATACCTCCAGCAGCCCTGTGCAGTCCTTGACAAAAACCTTGAAGGCCCACCGAACCGTAAACCCTACATACTACCAGGACATTGGACTACCTTTGTCCTCTTGGTGGATACTTACTTGGGATCTATAAAGGGTGCTTGGGTCCAGGTAAGCCCTAAACCCTAAGCCCCAAACCCTAAACCCTAAGCCTGAAACCCTAAACCCTAAGCCCTAAACCCCAAGCCCTAAACCCTCATTCCTGGTTCTCACCAGGGCAGTGCTGATGAGAAGTGGACAGCTCGTCGCAGTGAGTTGGTGCAACGACTTTTCGGGCACTTGCAGGCGCAGGGCTTTTTCCAGACCCTTGGGAGGATCTAGAAAGTAGGGTTCCTAGAAATTACCCAATAGTACTGCAGGGTACCATAACGGGGGGTTCTGCTTTCTAGATCCTCCTCGGGGGGGCACTAGGGGGGTCAGGGGGACTTAGTGAGTAAATCAGTAAGGCGGATGACTCTGTTTGCTATATGCAAGGTTTGGGGCTTCGGATCTGGGATTTATGACAAGGGTCTGGGGCTTAGTGTTTAGGAGTGTAGGCACTTGGGGGGGTGGTGGACTTGAGAGAGTTACTACATCTGGGCTCTGTGAAGCATGTTGGAGGAGACATCGATGGATTTCGCTGGATAACCGATACCTTGTGCGAAAACCGATACCCCGATACCCCTTATGCGTTTGTACTCTCATGTTGCAGCTGCATCAGCGGAAACGACCTCATTAAGTTCTATGTAGTGAGTAGGTTAGTAAGGGGGATGATTATCGTTACTGTTTGCAAGGTTTGGGGCTTGGTGTGGGATTCATGATAACGGCTGGGGCTTAGGGTTTAGGATTGAAGGTTGAGTGTAGGGGTTCCCGGAATCAATAATTTAGACAGACGCGACAAAAATAGCCAGGGTATTGTTCTCAGGGTTCTATAGGGCTGCTTTTGGGCTCTACGCAAGTCATCCAGTAGTTCCGCGAAGGAGGATGCGCGGATGCTACGTTACCACAGGCGTCTTGAGGGGTCCCACTTTCAGAAACTCTGATAAGCGATGCCTGCGGCTTAGTAGACACGAGGTAGTCCGGCCTGTTCCTCTATCTGCTATCGTACCCATTTCCTCTCTACCAAGCGCCGAGCCTTCTGCTGTAACCCGGAGGCTAAAACCCTACACTCTATGGTAGTTCCCAATTTCTTTTCCAGTCCCCCACTTTCCCAAACCCAAAACCCTTTTCCTGAGCACCAACAAGTGGAGGCTCAAGCTCCTGGAGACCTTCGTGGCCGTTTCTGGGGAACTGTCAGGCTGGGCTGTGTACCATTCCCTGCAAGATCTGCAGCGATTCATAAGCTTACCCTAAACCCTAAACCCCAAACCGCGGGGTTCAGGGTTTAGGGGTTTAGGGTTGCACAGGACTTGGGAAATCTTGAGCCCCCGAGTTGTGACCACAAGCCTGACCAACTTCTGGTTTCTGTTCGGGATGAGTCTGGGGACAGCTTCCTCCTGGGTTTAGGGTTTAGGGTTTAGGGCTTCTAATTCCACACACATATGCTAGAAGCACTAAATCCAGACCAGGGAGTTCAATTTTGTGACGCCTCCTTCTGAGTTGATTTTAAGGAGCTTTTTCAAGTTACAGTGATATGGGGTTTAGGGTTTAGGGTTTAGGGGTTTAGGGTTTAGGGTTTAGGTATGTAGTACTTGATAGGGATCCCTTGCTCACTTTAAGTTCCTTAGCAGCAACCCAGCTTCTGGCAGTAGGTCTTTGTCTTCCAGGCGAGTAGCCTGAATTACAACATCCCCAGAGTGGTTGATACTGATTCAATGTTGTTGTCCAGAAGCTCGCAATATCCTCTTGCTCTTGTGCCTACCTTTGTGCTTAAGGAAGTAATATCGTACAGTTTTTTGCGACCATTCTTGTACCTGACCACGTAATATCTTGTAGATTTCTCAGACCTGTACATAAAGACAGCAACGATATGTCTGGCAGTTCTTTGTTAGTATTCTATAATTACGCCATATTCTAAGGTTTCAATAATGGCGTTGATCGACAGCAACCTTGTACCCCACGGTCCCTTAGCTACTTTTCTGCGTAAGCATGCTTACACTTGCGTTGTACATAGAAACCGCAATATCCTCTAGGTTCACATTCCTGTCAACACCATTATTTGCAACATATCCCTCAGACTTAAACCCCAAACCTTAAACCCTCAAAGCCCTAATCCTTCAACCTTAAACCTTAAACCCTGGAGCTAGAATTTGGTAATAGGCAGGAACAATCAACAAACAACATGGAAACACATGGAGCTACTACGACGACTGAATTTCGGCTTACGGCTCCGGTTTGATAGGGTTTAGGTTTTGGCCCCACATGAAGAAGAACATGACAACCACAATGATTTTTGATGCTTTGAGGGACTGCTATGAGGATCCATGCTTCATTGCTTGACTTGGGGCAAGTAAATTGCCGCACTCCGGACCCCATGGGGTTTGTGGATTTCCGGTCTTGGATGTAATGTAGACCCATGATTAATAACCCCCGCTTTTTAAGGGCCTTCCTGTGAGGATCCCTATGAAAATCTCACTAAGGGAAGGGGGTTCATTAATCAGGGGCCTACATTAGGTCTTATAGGTCTTATAGGGTTGATTGGGGTTTGTAGGGCCTGAAAGCATCCATGAATGAACCGGGAGGTTAGACGATCTTGTCCCCTCGCAATGAAGACTCCCAGAAACTAAATTGTTCGCTGCTTGGGGCTATGCTGTGGTATGTTTGTAGGTTGGCCACAAACCACAACCTACAATTTACGCCATTCATCCCACGCCCAAACACCTTACACCAACAATCCCACGTCCAAAGCCGGAGAACTCTAACGCTCCACAAACCTTTAGTCGACCCTACGCATGAAACCTGAAAACCCCCCAAACCCCAGACCCTACACCTTAAACCCTATAAACCTAAAAGGCCTCCTATGCCCTGTGAACTGTAAGCCCGCTAAACTCACCTTGAATTCTAGGAGCCCTAGACAGCTGATGCTGCCTCAGCCTAAGTTGTTCCAGAGCAGAGTGTGCTGGTTCGGAGTTTAGGGCTTGGAGGTTTTGGGTTCAGGGCTCGGGGTTTTGAGGTTAAGGAATCATCTATCAGGCCCCTACGCCCTAAAGCCTCCACGGTTGAAGGTTTAGGGCTCAGGGTTGACGGTTGTGGGGCTTGTGGGGTGTAGACAAGTTCCAGGGATGAAGTGGATGTGGTTGAGGGTTGCACGGCTTCGTGTTGACGCCTGCTTCAAATTAGGGTCTTAGGGTCTAGGATTTAGGGGTTTCAGACTTTAGGCGCGTTTGTAGACTTGACCCTGATTTAGGGTGAGGTGCGGGACTATCGAAGCCTTAGCCCACGTTCGGGCAGCACTATCTTCCGCCTTCCAATGACTCGTTGTTGCAGACGGGCAGCCGATGTGGACACTTCGCTGCGGAAGCAGCGCAGCGCCGATCAGCGAGCTCTCAGCTTCTTCAAGCGAGGCGTGCAACATACAACGGGGCAATGTTTCCACTTAGGCGATGTTGCACGTCCAACGTGAGGGCTTGAAATTGTAATCCCCCTAATCACAAACCTACACAAGCACCTAGAGGTTTTCTCACTAACTACTTTGGTTTCTTCCCCTTTTTTGTGTATACCCATACTACCCACGAATAATTTCAAGGCAACCCAGATTAACCTGTGCCGGATTTTCGACATCTGCCACGGCTCAGGCTTTGCGCTGAGGCCGTGGCGAGCGAGGGCGAAAATTGGGCAAGGTGACCTTTGGGTTTAGGGTTTGGTTAGCAGGAAAGAAGGAAGGGAAAAGGACATGGAAACTGACATATTATTGGGATTGTATTACGGATCCATTTGTTCTTTCCTTGCTAACCAGAGGAAAGGGAGATGATGCCACAACCCCGCCCTCCCGATGAAGAGCTAAACTAGTTTTTTGCAAGGCGTTTCGGGCGGATTCAGGTCGACTAGAGTTGAAGGCTTTGGTCCAAGGGCTGAGGGTTTTCAAACTCAGTCAACAGGGATTAGGGTTTAGGGTTTAGGATTAGGCGGACTGCCCTTAATCCCTGGGGGTTTACGTTGCTTGTATCGCTATCCTTGGCTGGCCCTTGCGCCATAATTCTTATAAGAGTCCCTAAACCTAAACCATCAAACCCACATAAACTTACCATTACTTAGGGTCCCCAGATTTCCTCATTTTTAAGAATGCTAAAAATCAAAGTACCCACACCTCCAAAAACCCTAAGTAATAGTAATAAACCCTTATCATGGGATCCATATATAATGTCTATAGCCCCTATAAAACCCCCTATAAACCCTAAACCCTAAACCCTTGAACCCCTAAACCCTAAACCCTAAACCCTAAATAATCTGTATAACCCCTATAGAACCCCTTATCATAGGGATCCCTAGGCTCCGAGCTCCTCTGCTGAGCCATAGTGTTCCTGTCGTTTCTAAGGCCGAGATCCCAGATTTTTGGTGGTTTTAGGGGTTTAGGGGTTTAGGGGTTTAGGGTTTAGGGTCTGGGGGTTTAGGGTTTAGGGTCTGGGGGTTTAGGGTGTAGGGTCTGGGGGTTTTAGGGGTTTAGGGTTTCCCAGATTAAAGAAGAAGCCCGAATAAGTGCCAATATTGTGGTCGCAGATTCCTTGTAGAGTTTTGGCATCGGGTACTTCAAACAGTAACAGACCTCAACATATCATTTGCTTTGAGTACTGCCCCCCTTAAGTAACAGTTGGATAACAATTATAATATGGTTATATATAGCCCTTAACAGGGGCAGTACCCAACATTTGCATCTAGTCAGGTCCCTACATGCTGCCATGCCAGCCTTGCAATGCACGTGTTGAAATCCTGTCTTCAGCGTGCAGAAACGACAGTTCAAGCCGGATCAGCCCAGGGGAGGTATAGAAGCCTCCGAAACAGGGAACTGTTTAGTTTTGGGCGTAGAATTAGGGTTTCAGGTGTCGGAGTCAGGAGTAAGATAGATTGTCGGAGCTTCTGCTCAAAGGATATGGGCGTACTGAAGAGATCTGCGTTGTCGAGGTTAGCATTGTGGGGATGTAGAATTCAAATCTTTGGGGGCTGGTGGGTGAGCTGCAGGGGCTCTAGTCTTGCGATGCAGCACGAATTCCAGGAATGGTGTAATGTATATGAGGTGGTTGTGGGTTTTCGCAAAATGACTCGATTACCCCGCCCACAACCACTTTCGAATCGCAGCAACATCCTGAGTCTAGCTGGCGGGTACCTACTTCGCACCCCTGTGCTCGCAGGTTGCGGGGCTTACCAAGATCATTAGATCTGTTTGAGGGAGGAACTCGAATCAGGATCCCATATCTTTTAACCACTTCCACAGGTACGAGAATTAGTATAGAAATCCCTATGAGCCATAGTCCCCCCCTATGACCCCCTTTAAGGAGTTTAAAATACGGCTCATATCAAGGTGGAGGGTCGCTTCATCAGCACCACTTGGGATGCGCACGCAAATCTTCATGCCTAGCTCAAAAGCTTCAGAAGCCTTTCCCCGACGCTTCAGAATGCGGATCTCTGAGCTGTAAACTCACACCCCAGGAGCTCCTCAATCTTGGATCTGCCATAGCTGAGCTGGCAGGTACCAAGACAACTCCCGCTACAACCTGCTAGCCCCTTTGACTTGTTTTGGGGCTCTGCATCACCACATAGACCGCATACAAAGGACAGTTGTCCGTGATGGCTTTTTCCGGTTCCATGTTTGTTTCATGGAGGGTAGGGTTAGGAGGTGCAGGGGTACCTAGTCCATATGAGCCATAGTCTAAACTCCTTAAGGGGATTATATAATGAATTACATAATGATACTATAGGGTTCTGGATGCCGAGGAGCGACGGTGAATGATGTTATGAAGCTCGCTGTAAGTTACCATGCTATGAGCGTGTATATATATATATACACATGTGTATTGAACAATGAGCTTTCCTCATTACAGTAAATTAAAGAAAAATCATTAACTGCAACCCAGTCATGGGTTTTCTAGGGGAAGGTTTGGGGCTTTGGAGGGCTCAGGTTTGGGATTTCACTTGGGGGTGCCATGAGCCTCTGGCTAGGCCAGCAGTCTGAGACCTTGAACGATACGCAGTTTAGGGTTTAAGCCTAAACCCCTATACCTGCATCCAGTTAGTGTACAAAAAAACACGATTCCAAAGGTAGAAGGGGCCTTACTTGCCTTACTTGGAGGGTCAGGGGGCTTAGTAAGTAGGTTCATAAGGGGGGTCACTAGGCGAACTAGAGGGATTATAAGGGTTATTCACCTACCTACTAAGTCTCCCTGACCTGAAGCCCTAAACCCTAAAAAACAAAAAATCGTACTTTCCATTGTTTTCCATTGTTTCAAGATTTTCTGTGTCCACTGTAGTGAAAGGTTTGGGAACCCCATTTAGGTACTTGACATCCCTGGAATTCTTGAGCCGGGGGTATGTTAGCGCTCTAGTCTTATCACAGGACCATTAAGGCTTAGGGCTTAGGGGTTAGGGAAGAGGGTTTATAGGGCTTCGGGTTTAGGATCCAGGGTTTAGGGTCTAGGGTTCAGGGTTTTGGCCCAGCACCCCTAGACCCTAACATAACAGCATTTTTTTGGAAAGGGCAACCCCCAAAATGGGACCCTATGAGGGCCCCATAAGACATTGGGGGTTTGGGGTTAACAAAAACCTCGCATTATCAACCGTGAGCTCTCACATTGTTTGGCTCCAGAAACATGCAGTCCCTTCCATGGAATCGCACAATCCGTTTTGTTGGCAAATAGGTTTCTTCCCCCCACCCACCCTAGCCTCTGGGATAAGCCCCTTTTGGCTGTGTGGAAGCCCAGGTACACAAGGGCTTGGGGTTTAGGTTTTGGATTTGGGCTTCAGGGTTTGGGGGGTTAAGCCCCAACCATGCCCGCCCTGCTCTCCGAAGACTATGGTTTAGGGTTTAGGGTTTAGGGGGTCCCGAAGGGCATCCCCTCATCAAGCCTTCCTCATGTTTGTGATGGTGGGGGTTGTCTTGTAACCCGTCAACACAAAGCCTTTTCCTAAACCCTATACCATTTCTACCCTAAGCTTTCGACACTACAGCCTAAGCAGTAGTTTCGTTTTGGTTTCCATTCCTTCCATCCTTGCTGACTTGCTAACAAAAGCGTCAAACTTTAGGCTCTCGCTGCCTGGCCCTCCAAAAACCTAAAGCCTAAACCTTACTAAGCCGCTGGGTAATAGCTCAGGACTGGCAAAACTGGGCAGCATCGGAGGGGGAGGCGCAGAAACAGTGGATGCAGGCAATGGATCTGACATGTTGGCTCAGGATACGACCTAGGGCTATTGTTACTACTAAAGACCTCGTGACTTGAACACTTAATGTACTAGAATACCATAGTTCGGGATTGACAAGGTACATGCGCTGATGAAGGCTTTTTGAGCATCAACCGTAGCATGCAATTGTTTTAGAAGCCCTCAAGCTTCTCTTTCCGGCTTGATGTAAGGCTTGGGGTTTAGGATCTCGGCTCGCGGCAACCGTCTGAATCAGCACCCCAAATCTAGCTCAGTATCCAACCGAGATGTTCATAGTCGTCACCGCATAAGGGCTACATCAGCTTCAGCTATTCTTGCAGACATCTGTGTCTCCAAAGCCCATGAGAGAGGAGGAAAGCTGATGCTGAGCGTCTTATTCGTGAGCAAATTACAGTCATGTATGTATGCATGTATGTACGTACTTACGCACGTAGGCGTGTATGCATGCATGTATGTATGTGTGCATGTATGTATGTGAGGTAGGTCAGTGGACTGGTGAACATATGTACGTCCATATATTGCTCTTATTCATTCCGAAAACACAGAGCCCTCAGCCCTAAACCCTTAAGGAACGATTCCTAAATCCTAAACCCTAACCCCATAAAGCCTAAACCCCAGTACCACCCTGAGCTCCCCAGGAACGCGTGGATATTCTGCAGCAGCTCTACGCTACGTGCGCAGAAGCGCTGGAGGAGGAAAAAACTGATGTGGGCGTGTAGGGTTTAGGGTAGGTTTAGGGTCCAGGGTTTGCGGTTGCGTGTTCAGGGCATAGGTTGAGGGCTTAGTAGGAATCCTTTTTTTACGGCTCCACCCCTTAATCCCTCTGCTCCAAAATGGACTGAAAACTATGGCCCGATGCGGGTTTTTTTCGTGCCAATTCGGAGAATATTCTTGGGAGGAGTAGCAGGGCAGGGTGAAGTATGGGGTTTACAAAAGGCTCAAGGTTTAGGTCTAGGGTTGACTCGAGGACAGAACATGGGTCCTCCATGTAAGGAAGACCGCAAACTAGGGACCCCTGCTAATTCGAGTACATGCGTGTGTGCGGAGGTCACCGGTCAGTCCATGCTATGTGGTCGGTTCAGGGCTTTAGAGCGAATAGGAAGTGGGGATAAAAGCCCTAACCCCTAAATCCTAAACCCTAAACCATCTCCCACCCTTCGGACCCCTCAGATTTGGCGCTACTTGAGAGTGTGTGTGTGTGTGTGTGTGTTGTTTGCTTCAAGCAAGGTACACCCACCCATAGACGTGGCGAATACTGTATACTCCCAATGCCATGTCCACTTGCTGAGTTTGACCTCATGTTCGGAGGCTCGGTAGTTAGTTTTAAGTACCATTGCAAGTATTGAAGTTTTCGTTCAACCCCAAACAACAGCATACTTTTATACACCTACTCCTAATCCTACAGTACGCGCAACTACTGTACCCTATCCATGCAACTACCTAAGCCCTAAATTGCATTGTTGGAACCCCACATCTAGGTCGACCTTCCAACTGCAGACCTTGGCACAGGCGCGCCTCAGCATATGGGTTGAGGTGTCCAGGGAGGCTAGAATTAAGAGTCAGGAGTCTAGTTCTCCGTGGGGTCCCCCAAGTCATGGATACCCATAACCCTAAACCCCCTAAACCCTAAACCCTAAACCCTAAACCACCGTAGTGTGGAATCTGACGCTGGATCATGAGGCTTCTCGTGATAATCCGTCCGGCTCCATGTTTATGACCTTTTAGGGTTTAGGGGTTTAGGATTTAGGGTTTAAGGGTTTAGGGTTTAGGGGTTAAGGATTTAGGGTTCAGGGTTTAGGGGTTTAGGGTTTAGGATTTCCTCTCATAGCCTGCGTGGCGGCCGTCTTGGCCGAGTCCGCTTGAGAGAGAGAGAGAGAGAGGGTTGAGGATCTAGGTTTAGGGTTCAAGGGTTCTCCATAATATCGGGTTCCGTTTTGGTTGTGCCCATACGTTTCAGAGGCTACATAGGACACCCCAAGATAGACCCAAAAATGCTTTAGTCCTTTCTAAAGGGACTCCACAGAAAGGTACCCCTAGTTTCGGAATCCCCCCATGTGAATGGACCTGTTTCTGGAAACTAAACCCTAAACCTAAAATCCTAAACCCTTAAATCCTAAACCCGTCCAACCCTATGACCTAAACTAAACCCTCAACTCTCAAATCCTAAGCCCTAAAACCCTCCACGTCTGTTGCTTTCCAGGCCCTTTGTTTGATCGCATTACAACCAAGTCCCTGTCTTGGTGAAATTTCACGAAACATGGCTTTGCCGGTTGTGACGCCAGCTTGTTTCCTTGTGGACATAGCAGGGCTAAGTAGGGTTAAGGGTTTAGGGGATTACGGTTAAGGGTCGGCCACGAGATAAATCTTCTAGAAGGCTGACCTAGTCACATCCAAACAACATAATTCTGTTTTTTTGGCGGGTCTGGCGCCCACGGCCCTGCAGCACGAAGCCGCGCAACATGAAAATTATCGAAGGGTGGTTCCCCTGCCATCTTGCCACCTACACTCAACCTCGTACTTCGGTACAAGTCCGTACAAAGTCCATACACATTACAGCTTTCTAAAGCCCACTTAGGAAAGTCATGTACTAACTCTTGATGTAGTCCAGTGTCCCTCTGTAGTCCGACAACCTTACACCTATTATTAGCCTCAATACTATGGTAGCTTCCATTTTCTTCTCCATTATCCCCTATATAATCCCTATATATCCCCAATCTACTATAGTAGTTTCCATTTCTTGTCCACTATTAAAACTATGGACTTGACCTGTGGTTTTGTAGCAGACCTAAAGGCTTCCTTTGTAGCATACCTACCTTGTCGCCGCTTGTTGTTGGAAGGTAGGAAGAGCAAGCGATCGAACGGCGACATTTTTGGGCATTGTAGCCACTTCTCAGTTCCCTTCACACAAGCCCAAAAAGCGAATAGTAGTTTCCTTTTGGCTCTGCCATTCTTCTCCATACCCCACTAACAACCAGCAAGTGAAGCCTGAATTCTACATATCCCTACAAACCCTGAACTTTCCGTCCATTTCATTTTACACATAATCCCTAAACCCTAAACATCACATCCTCCCAAGAATATGTAGTAGTTTCCATTTTTTCTATGCCCTAATCCCTAAACCCTACGTGGCAGTTTCCATTTTCCTTTCCATTCTTCAGCGGCTGATAGGACCAGAAAAAACCTTAAAAGGTGGTTATATGAGGAATGATGTAGGGGAGTATTATAGAGGATATTAAGGGGTATACTAGGAGTTTAGACTTTTGTTCAAATAGCCGTCATTTGCGTGTAGGGTGGCCACTAATCCAACTAAAACCTAAAACCCTGAGATGGTGGTTATAAAAACCCCTGCATAACCAGGTAGTCCCCATAGTGCCCCGCCCGTAACCTACAGAGGCCCCTCCCTCCGAAAGCCCCCGCCAGATCCTTCATTCCGGATGACGCAAAGACTTGAAATTTGTAAACTTATTGTTCCTTGGGTTTTGGGGCTCCAAATACCTTGATCAAGGGCTACATGTCATGGCTCAGGGATACAAACCCAGGGTGCAAAGGAAAACTCCTGGGCTTAAACCCCCCAAAAGCGGCGAGCCCTTCCCTTCCTACAGGCCTCAAAGCTGCGAGCGCATGTGAGACTGCAGGCAACGCTGCTTGAAGTTTGCTGAAAAGGGGTCCACATAAAGGGGTTATGGTTCTAGCGGAGAAAGGATTACGTTGGACTGTCTTGTTTCAGTATTCAGGGCTGGTGGCGAGATCCGGGGTGGCTTGTAGGCTTAATAGTGATACGTTTGGGGGTTGGAGTGTTCCAGGGGTTTAGTCTAGGACTTTGTCTTTGCGGTCTTAGGGTTTTGAAACGGGATTCAGGCTTTTGGGCAAACAGGGTCTTCAAGGTCTTGCTGGAGCGTTGGCCTTCTTTTTGGTTTTTGTGCTCTAGGGACTCTTAGGCGTGCTACAATAAACCCCGAAGCTCCGTTTGCGTGCCCAGATACTTAAACCCTACATTCAAGTTGCGAAAATTGCTACCTCTTTTTTGGGGGTGCCTAGTTTTGTATAGAGATACTAGACACAAAGTTAGGTATCCTAAAACAGGGGTAGGGTACAGGGGGTCTGGGTAGCTTTAGGGATTTAGGCTTTCACCTGTGTCTGCTTCCACTGTCCGTGTCGTGCCCTTGGTGGGGGACAACGGCAAGCTCATCCTGCTCACAAACTTGCTCTTGGTTAGCTAGGAATGAAGGAACGGATCCTTATGGTAGTCTCTACATAACACATCATAGTAGTTTCCACTTGCTTTTCCATTCCTTCATTCCCGGCTAACCGAGGGTAAGCAAAACCATCAAGACCAGGTGTTTCCGGTTGGAACCCCAAAACCCTAACCCCTCAACCCTAAACCCTAAACATGCGACTGGGCCTGAGGGACATCAAGCTATAAGGTCCCAAGCTTCTCAGATTCCACACCCCACGCCGCAGGCACAACTCACGAATCTGCATCTTAAAGTTGTCAAGCTTCAATCCGTAAACCCTAAGTAACTCTATTACAGTAAGTTATGTTCGAAAATGTTTTGTTCGGGTTTATTTCATCTTCTTACCTTTAATCACTATATCATGCTTATGAAGCCAGAGAAATCTAATTTTCGTAGGGCCCCTCAAATCTGCAATAGTCTACCTCATCACTAACACGACTTTGATTTAGAATCCTAACCCCCGCCTAGCCATGAGGGAGCCTGCCTTCTTACTCTGAGGGTCCAAGTACCTAATAATCATATACTTACCCCAAAGCTATATCATAATTACTATTCCCCAAAATCCCAAGTACCTAATTATTGGGTACTTGGACCCCCTGGGTTAGGATGTTGTCTGCTGTTTCTAGAGGCCTGAGCTCCGACATGCAACGCCCTAGGAGAAGGTGCACGTAGAAGCTTGAGGAATAAATAGGGTTTAGGGTTCAGGGTTTGGGTTAGGTGGACCCCCCACGCAGTAATAGTGACTATAAGGGATAATAGGGATCATATTAGGGTCCTCTTATATTCTTATTATACCGCTATTACAGGGTGGGGGGTCCTCCTAAGGTTTAGGAGTTAGGATTCAGGGAAGATGAGCTAGGGGATCCTTTTCGATCTTCTTTTAAGTATCTAAGGGTTTAGGGTTTAGGGTTTAGGGTAAGCCCTGAGCCCTCAACCTCTGAGCCCTTAAAACCCTCTACGAATCCCCTGAGAACTGCCTTGGTCTAGGTACGGACAAACCCAATTCAAACTTTACGGCCATGTACCGCCCTATCGTCTCCCACCCTTAGAAATAGCTGTTCTGATTACTATTTTTATTCTATGCAACAGTTAATAAGGGGATTTTGGTAAACCCAACCCCCAGAATTAGGACCCTATGACTATCGTATGATGGTTATAGGGTCCTAATTTGGGGGTTGGGGTTACCAAAGTCCCTTATTAACAGTAATTTTTCGTAAGATGCCTACACACACTTAGCCAACGAAGGTGAATCTGAGCCGCTTTTGCGGCTCCTTGACCAGACCTTCCCCACCAGGCAAGGGGTGTTGGGGGTCAGGGGTTGGGGTTCAGGGTTTAGGTTTAGGGTGTAGTCTTTGACTAAGCCCTGAAAAGATGTTCTGTTTCAGTTCAAAAAAGTGGGCTTTGGGTTGAAACGTTGTGTATTTGGGTGATGAGAAGTTGTATTATACGGGGTAGGAGAT